TATAATAGAATTCTTTAAAACGAATTTTACCCCAATATGTTGTTGTTCTAAGCTTCTGGATTAAAACCGTGTCCAATGGTTATTAAATTCCGACGTTTCACCAACATTGCAGTTAGCTTTATTAAGGTATCGAGACATACGTTATTAGTGGCAGAAACCTCGAATCACAATTCGAGTAATCCACTCCACGAAAGCCTCAAAAGTCTCTTTACTTAAATGTAATCGAATTTTTTTAAATGAAATTCTAAAATTACTTTTACAAAAAAACATGATTTATTCATTCAAATTGCTAAGGGCACACGTAAATTCAGCATTTGTTGTATAATTTTGTGAACTAGTGCACTATTTATGAATTTGTATAAAATGCTTGACGTTTTTATATCATATTTAGTAAATGAACGTATTGAAAAATTTTGCAATTCATTTATAGATTACCTAAATCCATCTGCTGTTCTGAATTGAAAAATTTTCATTTCACTGTCTATATCTTTATTATAAAACTGTAAATTAAAAGCTATCACCTTAATAAAATTGTGACACTTTTACAAAAATATATCTTAATAAAAATTGCTATTTAATCAATAAGAAATGGATTGTAAATCATTTCGTTCATTTCTATTTCTTCATTGTTGAAGTAATTTCAGTTGATCTCGTTTTAGTGTTATTAAAAGGAATTAGTTAAGGCTTATCTGCGTGTAATATTTCTCAAATTAAGATAAAGAATGTAACATTCAATAATAACTCAATAATTAAAATCTCCACTATTAAATTAAACACTTTCTGTTATCTGTTAAAGTGATAAGATGTTACAATTACCTTCTACCGTTTTCTAAGAAGCACCTACTCAATATCGATACTAATAATACTTCACCATAAGAACAATTTTTCGCATGTAATTTATAAAACATATTTATGCAAGTACAATTGCATACTGGAAACTGGTTGATGAAATGTGCAATTATATGGATCATGTGAATTAAATGGATAAATAAAGTACTGTTTTGTTACTGTATCATTCAGTAACTATACAAACTTCTTCTTAGAAATTTGTTCAACACAAGAACTCTAAACAGAATCTCAATCTGTCCTCGTTAGAAGTGTAAATATTACACAAACTGACAATTGCTCTTCTTTGGATTTATCAAATGATTATACAAAGAGACATTTTTTAATATATACATGACAAATAATGTTACAGTTCGATAACATATACTTTAAAAGAGTACAATATAACATTTTTCGTTCTTTTAAATTGGTCGATTGTTAGAATAACAAGGAACTACTTGAAGAATTTTCAAATTTAATGTTCTCGAAAACAAAGCCGCAAAGAAAAAATTGTTATTCTATATTTTCGATTTATTTGTTTTATATTATCACTGCAATTTTTTTTCTTTAATTACTATCGGTTACCGCCTTCTAACCAATTTGCATTTGCTATCACTGTTACATAATATAAATATATATTTTTATAAAAACCTAATTTTAATAATTCTGTGTCAATGCAAACTTGTGAGACCTGTTTTAGATGCGAGGCACAATTAAATTGAGGTTAGAAGTTGTATATATAGTAATAGGAGCTTTGGCGAGAACTAGCGAGAAAGATTAACTGTCTGTCCCTCTGGTGGTGGAGCATAGGAAGTACCGTTGCAGATTATTCGATCATAATTTTCTCTCGTAATAAAATTAACGAAGAAACGATGAATCTTCGATATGTTGATATAATGCATACGCTGATAATCTTTACAGTTAATACGGTTATGTTAACGTATTTGTAATGACCGTTGATGACAGATAGTGTATAGTCCGGGTCACGATATGGCGAGGACGTAAAATCGGTCAGGAGTTAAAGTCAACATGTTTTGGAAGTCGAGACAACCAAATTAACAGAAATAACTACGAGCAGAGTTAATGACCTGAAATCTCGGCCAGGGGCGTACGAAGAAATGTTCGAAACGCGTTAGCAAATATTGCTTTGTTAAGTGAGTTTTATAAAACATTAATTGCTATTCAGACACCGAAAAAAACTTCAAATATTCCAAATGGCAAATAACATATGCAGATGTTCTACTTGTAAATAAAGTATCGTTCTACAGGGTGGAAAAGACACCCTGTATGTATAAGAGTTTTGAGGATGACAAGCTACCGACATTGCATTGCCTCAAAGCTTGGAAATATCCTTTTTAAAAAAATGAAACTTCAAAAGAACGAAAATTCTCCGAAAAATCTATTTAATCTATCAAAAAATTTTCAAAGATGACTTAAACAGTGTTAAATACGTATTTTGTAATAAATGAACAATAGATACACGATAAACTGTGATGCACATTGTTTCACTATTCATATTCTGTTACACATAAATGAAATTCTAATTTTACAAATAATTTTCTTTCTTTTCACACAATATATTAATTAGAATTCTTCCAATTCTAGCTTCAATACAGGGTGTTTCTAAAATAAGGGACGTAACTTCATGATTGTATCTTATTCGTCGCAGTAATGAAGAAACAGAATGGGCGCAGCTTGTCTTCTGATCCACTTTATTCACCAACTAGAACATCAACTATGTGGATAGTTATGCTAAGGAATACAGCAACAATTGCGCAATACTTGGAAAAGTTCGCTGTTAAATACCGCTGAAAGCCTTGTTCAAAGGGTTTTCACGCCTTTCCATAATTCATCGGATGCTGGGCCTTTGCTGGGCATCCGACAACACCATACAAACGTCACCGCAAATAATTGCACAACTTTACCAAACATCGTCATACGTTAGAGAATGCTTTATTTTAAAGATTCTTATCAGAGGAAGTTTCCGTTTCCAGCACTTTTTCAACTGCAACAGTTGGGTAAATCTTCGACACGACATCTATCAATGAAAACAGGCAGAAAAGATGTTTGTTTATTCACCGTCCACTCGTCCACTCACCGATGTGCAAAAATGTTTATCTAACTTACTTTTTATTACTCAACAAGTAGAATACACATTTGCGCGGTTTAATTCTCTATTTTATCAATATCCTGTCTACAGGTTGTCCCAGTTTAATTATCAACAAATGAATATAAATTATTTTTCTTCGTACTAATAGTAAATGCTACATTTCTAAATGGAATAACGCAAATACAATTTAATTACTACTTTTCTCCGTTAAAATTACGCAACGCAAAATAAATTCTAATCAGATGTACACGTACGAAGACTTTCTTCACTGAGAGTACACGTATAAACAAGTTGAGCAACCTGAAGTATTATAATACCGTTTAGCAAATAATCATCTTCTATCTTAGACCATCGATAAGGATAAAACGCAAAATTCAAACACCGGAATTTCAAACAACCTATTTTGTTCGTCGTTGTAAACGAACTCGTAAGAATTGTAACAATAAGCTGTGAATCGTAAACTGAAACTAAAGAGACTTCAAACTATAGAAATCCTGGTTTGAAGCCTCTAATGTGACAAGTGTTTGTACACCATGGTACATACATATCAGTTGTACAAATAAACGACAAAACAAAAGCGTGGAATTTGAAAAGTTCAGTGTCTCTCTGTGCAAACGTACAGTCTACATACTAAGCACCAAATCAGGAGTATTATCATGAGAAAAGTATAATACCGCTCATTGGTCAAACCGATCGATAAGGTAATCGATGATATCACGTAACAATTGTACACACAGGAAAACAAAAGAAGTCAAAAATATAAGTGAATGTAGTAGAGTGGTGAGGACTGATCGTCGAGTCATAAGTCTTGCAAAAACGAATGTTGGTCTTTCTCCTCGAGCATCGTCATTAATAAAAGCAACGTGTCGCGGATCGCGTTCGATTGTGGAACTGTGTATTCTCTATCCGTAAAGTGGCTGTGATACGCGCCGTTATTGCGACAAATGACTTTCACCTTTTCAAACAGCCATCTTTAACCGCTGTCACTAGAAGTAGTTCTTCTGTTATTGTTAGAAAAGCATGTTGCTACGAAGATACACCGGTACAGATATCGAAAGAAAGTAAAACGTACGTAAGTTGGCTGCGAACGTCTAAAAGTTGGCAGTTTATGTCTTTTATTAGGTCTGTACAAAAGTTTCCATCGCTTGTAAAACAATGGCTGTAAAAGGCACTGTGAGTTTCTTTCCTTTTTTAAATTTATGACGATAAGTATATATACATAAATGCCAATATAAGTATTCACGACGATAAGTATAGTACTGATGTTGTATTATTATTGTTTCAATAACGGCTAATCGTAAGTATAATAAAAAAATAAATACACATTCTTCACGAAAATACGTCGGGAACTTTTACACAGACCTAACAGTTTGCAAGAAATTTTCTTCCCTTCCAAGTGTAGGTAATATCATTTCAATTCTTGCACAAATTTTTTCGTCAGTTGACAAATTTTTCTACGTATTGTATTTGACATATCACCACAGGCAATTAACGCGAAAGGATTGCAAGGAAGTTTGAGAAAAAGTCGGGATACGTTGCATGAAGTTCTAAAAAGTCTACAATTTTTTCCATTACATTTATGTTCATTACTGGATTTGAGCAATTTTTATTTGACACAGGAGTAAGGAATGAGTTCGTTTGAAATGATTTTATTATTTTTCAAATTTTCCAATGTAAAAAAGTGTTTCGAGTTCGTACTAGAAAATCATTTTACTAATTAATGGAATTACGGCTATATTTTCACACAAGTAATAGCAGGTAGTTAATAAATAAGGAAAGGAAAGGAAAGAACATTGAACAGGCGTGAAAGAAGGAAAAATTGCTACTGTATGTATGCAAATGGAAAGTAAGATTAAGAAGTTTTCATATTTAATCTTGTAACATGAAGTTGCATGTTATTGGTAAGACTCCTAATTTCCGTTTGCGAAAAGAATCGTTTATATCTGAATGAATTAGTGAGGATATTGAAATATTCAAAATTTAATAGGGAAATAATAGAAATGTATAATTTTATCGAAATGACAATGTAACATCACTTATACAATTTCATCAGTTTATGTATTTTTGGCAACTAAATATCAAAAATACTAATTAAGTTTGCCTAAGTTTGAAAATATTGCGAAATTATAAGGAATTGTTACATTTTTCAAGATACGAGGCACTGCACTACTGGAAATTGTACGCAGGCTTCAAATTAATTTATTTCAAAGATACAGAATAATTTTATTCCGCTTAATAATTTCTAATTAATTCTAATATTTCTTCAAATTAACAAATAATAAATTAATCTAAAAAATTTTATTTCTATGAGGATTTAAATACGCGCGGTTTGTACAATTGTGCAATTGTTTTTAGTTGAATATTTGTTAAAAATAGTATTTGTGAGTTAATCCACAGAATCGTTATTTTCTTTTCTAAATCAGTATTTCCTTGTACAATTTCACATTTCGACAATTCAACCTGAATAAGTTTGAAATAATTATACACACCTACATTACAGTCACTTGCAAACATACGAACGATATATTTATTTATTAATAAATAATTTATATATATGTACATATATTTAGGAATATATAAAAATTAAATTTAAACATTCGTGAAATGTGAAATTCTATAAAAGTTTCTATATAATAATTGTCTAAATAACCTACATTTCTAAGTGTTATAAAATGAAACGAATAAATTATACCGTTACTATTATATCATATTTCGTGTGTTTCTATATGTTTATATTATGGCTATTGATAAATTATTTTAAGCAATGATAACTTAATATTCGATACAGGTTACCAAACCCAGAAAATATTGTCACATCATCATGAATTTCCTTCGAGACCAATTTTCGATTATTATCTTCTTTCTACTCTTTTCTGGATATCAAGGAGCACTTAATACAGATGGATACGAAGGTAATACAAAGTTAATAAATAAACTTTCATTAAGCTTTCATAAATTGTGAATCCTTGATAAATAATTTATCGTATTATTCAGGCATATTAATTAAGAAAATACTTATCAGTTATTACAATAATTTGAAAGAATAAAATCTATTATTTTTAATTCATTAATTCATTATGTTATACTTACATTTCCTATATTTTCATTTTTGACAATTTAATGTAATTTATATTTACATTTTGTTAGCAACAAATCCACATGCGATAATTATTACATCAAAATGTTCACTCTACATTTTGCCAAGGGTGCTCTATTAAAATATTTCCTAACCAAAATATACTTTACTTTACAACTATTTGTAATTAAGAATTTTTCAATGTAGAATACTGCCACCGTTACTCTTTATCACTTTATTTGTCGTATTACTGCAGAATTGTAATTATTTCTTATCAAACAAAAACACAAATTTGCTAATTTTACAATAATTACGTCCACTACGTGGAATCAGTTACAACGAAATTTTTCTGATTTGTATAACGAAGCGGTTAGTAATTATTATGCAATTGTTAACAAATTTTCTTTGTTCTTAACTGCTAGTTTCAATCGATGTCATGTTTCATTCAGCGATTTCAAGCTTAAAGAATTTCTGGAAAAAATATTCGATAAATATTTCGTTAATATAGTACCATTGGTGTTTAGTTGCATTCCATTTAGGTATACTCCTTGCATCACATTATAATTTACTACTATAGAGTACATTAAATTAAACATACAAGTATATTATATTGGAACACAAGACACTGCAAACTATAGGGTGCAATATCATTTTCTAATAATTACATGGCAGAATGTATTACAATACAATTAAAAAATATGACGATGTAGTATTATAGAATATAGTACAATATATATTCAGTTAATATGATATGCTATGTTATACGTCAACATTCGCAAATTTATAGTTACTAACAATTTACGGTTAGTAATATATTTACATTAAAATTTTTAATGCTTAAACTGGCTTTAGAGTACTTAGTCGTAAAAGGAACAACACCAAAAAAATAAGTTTTGTAGATAAGCGGCAGAATGATTAATTTTATTAGCGGCGTTATCTCAATTGCCGCGGCGCGTCGTATATAGAGTGTTCCGTTTAAACGAGAACGATGAAATATCTCACGAGTAATTGAAGCTATCAAAAAAATATTCTTAACAATGTTATCTGGTACAAATGATTTTTCTGTAAGTTTAGCAGTGGGGGAGATATCAAAGGCAAGTTAATTTTTTTTAATGAAAGCCTGTATTTTTTTATTCGTAGTAAAATGAGCAGAAAATAGTATTTCATATTTTTGTTATAACTTCTTAACGAAGCTTCAAATCACCTATGTTCATATAACATTTCTTTCTTACTTATACCAGTATAACGTACTGACAAAGTTTGATCGGGTAAAAATGGGACACCCGGTATATCACATTTAAGAGGAACTGTTTTTTTCAGGAATGCAAAATTGATAAGAATATCACAATAAGTATGATAAAAATGGAGTATCTTTTTTTTCAGAACGGACACTTTAAATGTGACATTTAGATTTGTCATTTCCTCAATATAAAAGAAATTTTCGAGATGATTATCTGTATAAGCCATTTATTCGAATTTACGTCATCTTTACCATCCCTTTTAGGCGGGTAAATAGAAAAGATTCGAATGATTATTGTTACACGTACAACATCTGCAAATATACATTTTACAACGTAATTTTCAGGAATTGTTGTTAAAAGTGAACAATCATTCAATAAATACAAAGATATAAGCGAAAAAAATTGTCAAATAAATCACTATTTTTAGTCTATCTAAGTGTATGTAACCCCTTAAGGGGGTTATCACCCTGAGGCTTCTAAAAATAGGTAAAATTCGGGAATTTTTTTCATAGGAAACTACTGAATAAGAAGTTTCAATTTTTCCAGAGGATACAAATGTAACTTTTACCTTTCTTCTCCAATTTTTAAAACCTAAAAGTATTATGAAACCTCTTGTACTGGAACATCGATTGCTTGCCGTCATCGCCGGCAAAATAAAAAATTCTCTCTGATTCATAAATAAAAATGTATTACCTACAATCAATGTTTTTCGATATCTCAATTATTTAATTTTTTAGAGATGTTTAAAGTCGCTTTTTTTTGGCAAAAGAGGTTCTCCCTCTTCAAATTGCCACCGTTTCTATGATAATTATAATTTTTGAAAAATCTTATGCTATATTGTAGGTAATACATTTCTATTTATAAATCATCAAGAATTTTTTATTTTAGACTTTTCAATCCTTGTCAACGATAGCGGACAGCAATCGAAATTTTGCAGAAGAGGTTTGACAATAACTCCTCCATTTTGTAACACTTTCAGTTTTTGAAAATTAGAGGAGATAGCTGAAAGTTACATTTATATCCTCTAGAAAAATTGATACTTGTTACTTAGTTGTTACCTATAAAGAAAAATTCCCAAACTTTTCCGATTTTTAGACGCCTCAGGCTGGTGTACCCCCTTAAAACTATTAATTTATGTAAGAAGAGGCAAACATTTTTATTTACGATACTATAGAAATTTGACTGAACAAAACATTATTTCTTTCAGTTTTATTACCGATAATATTTTCTCGTAATATTAAAAATTCGTTAATATCAAAAATATGAAAAATTCTTATATTATCCAACATACGTTTTTGTTGAACAGAACCATTTCTGCAAGAGGACGAAAAGAGTGCTACCCCCGACGATTACCGACTACCAAAATCAATAATTCCGCTCAATTATGAAATCATGCTTAAGCCGGAATTCGAATGTGATTGCAAAATGAATGGAATAGTGCATATTTACGTTAGAGTGAAAGAATCAACCGACACTATAACGCTTCATCATGGACAAATGGAAATAACAATGGTGTCCGTCACGTTTAACGAAAAGCAGCTGGAAATCAGAAACACTACTTATAATAATAAAACGGAGAAATATGAAATTAAACTTCGTGACACTCTGAAGGCAGGATCCAATGTTACAATTAATTTCCAATATGAAGGAATAATTAGGGACGATATGATTGGATTCTATAGAAGCTCTTACATCAATTCTAATGGAAAAATTAGGTAAGATGAAATTATTGAGTGCTTCTTTCTCTGCTCTATTGTAATTACTGAATACTCTTTTACGAACGGGAATAAACTGAGATTAAATTTTCTAGATATTACCATCATTTTCTATATTCTTCGAGGTTTTAAATTAAATATTACTTAATTATACAAGCATTTAATAATTTTACGCACAAATTTTTTTTACACAAATTTTACGCAATGGACGTTTTTAAGACATTCACAGGACGCCTGTGTGCTACCTGAGATATGATAACGACGAAGAGTAACGAATGCTTTATTAATTGTATTTTTCAAAATGATTCAGGTGGCTTCTTTCAACACAATTCCAAACAACACACGCAAGGCATGCTTTTCCCTGCTTCGATGAGCCAGGTTTGAAGGCAACGTTTGTAATCAGAATCCTAAGGCCACCAAGCTATATTTGCCTGAGTAATATGCCACTAAACCGAACAGTACCTGTGTAAGTGATTGCACAATTTATTGCACGATGTAAATTATACCGTTAATAGTCCATAAGAATATTAAATAACATACAATAATTTACATGCACTGCTTCATTATTAATAAATAATGTACACAAGCAGTAATTAAACACGAGTGTAGTATTTGATGGATATCAATAATAGACATAATTTATAATGATTAAACATGGTTGGAATAACCGTTAAATAAATTTTATAAGTTGCCTTTTTATGCTTTAGAATTAACAATATTGTTATTTGAAGCAATTAATACAAGATTTCATAAGATGAACATAATATTTCACGATTAAAAGATACAAACATTAACCAGCAGTCAGCAGAATTCGAAAATCAATTTAAATTTCGTTTCTCGCTTCAATTTTGAATACTATCATTTTTGTAAGAAATGCGCAGAATGAATGAAATATTTCGTTACAATTTTATAATTGAATAATAAATTATGTCTTATAGCGTTCATGAAATTAATGATAACTTTTGTATTTGAAAATGAAATAAATTCACTTCCTACGCTGAATAATAAACAAGTAAACTCCTTTAGGCTTCTGTTTCACATTATATTTTAAACAAAAGCAAAAAATTCGATGTTTGTAAACCTTAGAGGTGGTCTAACCCTTTAACTCTCGTACGACGAATGCAGGGTCATTTTGACTCACAGCGACAAAGTCAGGCAGCCAGATTACGTTTGGTACAGAAAATATAGTTGAAAGTATACACAATTCCTTCTTGAAACTCGCTTCCAAAAGAAATTTTGCTATGGGTCAAAATGACCCTGCATTCGTCTCCCGTGTCCGTCTAAAACCATTCGCCTTCCGAGAGTTAATTACCACGAAATGGAAACACCGATATTTCGAAATTCACATATAGACTTTCTTGCAGCGCGTAATTTGTTCTACAGTTCCAGAACGGGCGAATATTGGGACGAATTCCAGCAAAGTATACCTATGTCGACCTATTTGGTAGCCTTTGTGATCTCCGACTTCCAGTCCGTGAAAGTAGGAAACTTCAGCGTTTGGGCCAGGCCAAATGCTATCAGTCAAGCTAAATACGCTTTGAACATTGGCAAACAATCTCTCGACCATCTTTCCAAGCGATTCAAACAGGAGTATCAAATCTCCAAGATGGACATGGTGGCTGTACCTGATTTCTCAGCCGGCGCAATGGAAAACTGGGGTCTCGTCACCTATAGAGAAAGCAGACTGTTATTCGACGAAAGTACAACATCTGACGTCGCGATGCAAAGCATCGCTTCGGTAATCGTACACGAATTGACGCACATGTGGTTTGGAAACATGATTACACCTGAATGGTGGAGCTACTTATGGCTGAGCGAAGGGTTTGCAAGATACTTCCAATACTTTGGTACTGCACAGGTAATCATGAGTTTTCTTTCGTCATATCAGAATCGCTCAAATTTTTTATCAACACTAGCCGTTTATTTTCATATGTGTATTTTTTAACAAGAAGAAAAAATTAATATAAAATTACCAATAGGAGGTGCGAAAAGCTATAAAGTTTAATTTAACTTGGAGTACATAAGTCTGTATCTAACAGCACATCTAAGTGACTAACTTTCATTGATGGATTCGATCAAGTAAACGTTAATATAAATATCAAAGACAAAAGTAATCTTGAGTAAAATTAAAGGGTTATATTAAACTATAGTTACACGTGCGTGTGGTAAAAAGTTCAAAATAATAAGAAGTTACTTTATCAAAACAGGGAATCAATTGTTTCTACTAACTCTCATCGTTAGCTTTTATCGGTCACCGCTGACCCGGCATTGAAATCTCTTCTTTCAACCGGCAAACAGAGTCACGACTCTCCTCTCTTTATATTATAAATATTTGTTATTTTAATCAGAATATATTTGTATTATTTTAAACGATATAATGCCTAGTAAAATAAAAACATGTAGTTTCGGTTACGTAGGAAAAAGATTTTAATATTGGGTCATATTTGACCCGGCATCCTCCGAGGGTTAAGGGAGTACACCAGCCTGAGGCGTCTAAAAATAGGAAAAGTTTGGGAATTTTTTTCATAGGTAACAACTAAATGGAAAGTTTCAATTTTTTCAGAGGATTTAAATGTAGCACTCAGCTTTTTCCTGCAATTTAAAAAAAGTAAAAATCTTACAAAATGGAGGAGTTATTGCGAAACCTCTTCTGCTGGAACGTCGATTGCTGGCCACCATCGCTGACAAGAATTTGAACGTCCGAAATAAAAAATTCTTTTTAATTTATAGATAAAAATGTATTACCTACAATATGGCCTAGGATTTTTCAAAAATTATAATTATTATAGAAATGGTGGTAGTTTGCAGAGGAATAACCTCTTTTTACAAAATAATAATTCAACTTTAAACTTTTCTGAAACGTTAAATAATCGACATATAGAAAAATTGTAAGCTACATAGTATGTAATACATTTTTGTTTGTAAATCAAAAAGAATTTTTTATTTCAGACGTTCCAATCCTTGTCGAGCCAATGATGTTCTAGCAGCAGAGATTTCGCAATAACTCCTCCATTTTGTAACATTTTAACTTTCTCAAAATTGGAGAAGAAAGCTGAAAATTACACTTATATCCTATTCCAAAATTGAAACTTTTCACTTAGCAGTTACCTATGAAAAAAATTCTCAAATTTTCTTACTTTTTGAAGCCTCAGTGTGGTCTATCACTTTTAACAAATTATTAATAATCTATGCTGCAGATCGAACCTACGTGGAACATGGAAGAACAGTTCGTCGTGGAGCAACATCAAACAGCTTATGCAGCTGACGGCATCGAAACCTCCAAACCAATGACTCGAGATGTTATCACTACATCGGAAATCAGCTCAGTAGGAGATACTATCACTTATAATAAAGGAGGGAGTGTTCTACGAATGATGAATCTCGTTTTTGGATCCGACGTATATGATACTGGAATTCAAAATTATCTGAAGAAGTAAAAATCCATTTAATTGTTAACAGAATTTCACAGCGTAGTATGCAAACAAGTATTTAGCAATTTTAACCCTTTGCACTCGGAGGTGATTTGCTGTAGAAAAAGTTGCAAATCGGATCTTTGAAATTTTTGCAAACTAACGTAGAAATGAAGTATACTATTTTATTTAAATATTCAATGTATTCTCTATTTCACAATTTTGAACAAATTTATGGAGGCCCGTAGATCTATTCTCTAATTATTTACCAAGTGACGATTATTTAATGTCGCTTCTCAGTCGCCACTCGATTGCAAAAAGTTAATAAGTACGAATGGTGAAAGTTACAAAATAAATAATACGATTTGAAAAATCTTGTACAAGTGAAAACGTAGACCGTATAAAAATAATTTCACAATTTTATTAACTACAATCACCGTGATTTATGTTCGTCACAGTACCGTGGAAAAAGTGGGACGTCCGGATAATCTATGGTTAGAAATCCAGAATGAAGTTAATCGTCGCAACAACTCATTGCAACTTCGAGCATCCGTCAAGGAAATTATGACCACCTGGACAGAGCAAGCCGGATTTCCGGTCGTGACTGTTTCCATCCAGAACGATTCGGTCAATTTACAACAGGAACGTTTCCTCTTGAGAAACTTGAAATCCACACCTACGAATATAACATGGTGGATACCGATCACCTGGGCTACGAAGAAAAATCCAAACTTCGATAAAGTAAATGTTGAACATTGGTTGGACAAGAATGTAACCACCATTCCGTTGGAAAAGTCTCCAGGATGGGCGATATTTAACGTTCAATCCGCTGGTGAGTAAAATACATTTTCTGTTTCTTATTGATCCTGTAAAAAAAAAAAAACAGAGTTATATGGCTTTATATTAACTTTTGCATACAATTCCTACGTCATTGCAAAATATGCATCAATTTAAAAAGTATTTTAATTTTAACTTTGCTTTTGTTGCAAACAGTATACGTAAAACAATATGCCAATTGTAGTTATACTGGTGCACCGAAATAAGTGAGAGAACTTAAGATTGAAGTAAGTTTAAGCTAATAATTTTACCAAGAATTTTAGGATATATGTATAAAAATCAAGAAAAGTGATATAGGATCGATCATATTTCTTCTATTTCATAGGTATATTGGATACCCTGTATACATATTCTTTCATGCAAAAAAAAAGAAAATGTAACGTACTTATTTTTTGAATATCACTTATATACATATATGTATATAACTTTCAACTAATACAAATCACACGTAACAAAAGAATGAATATCGTCCAAGTTTGTTTGTTTAGAATTCTTTCTTTATCATACAGGAAGACAGTTATTTATATATGTATAAAAAAATACTCCTACAAAAGAATTGCCCGAATTATACCAATAATTTTGTCTAAATTTCACTGACATCATAGTTATTATTTGCTGTATACAGTGGATTGGGTACATAATTAAACATTGATGATTTAATAATTAATAATAATAGAAATATAACAACTCTAAAATCATTTACTTAATACCTTCAACTATAAATATATTATTTTATGTCAACTAAAGTGATTTTTTGTAGGCTTCTACCGGGTGAACTACGACAATGCTTCATGGTACCGCATTTTCGATGCTTTGAACACCCAGAAACATGAAGGCATACACGTTCTCAATAGAGCTGCCCTAGTTGATGATTTATTGAATTTAGCAAGAGCTGATTTGCTGAATTACAAGACCACTTTGGACGGTTTGAAATATCTCGTTCAGGAAAAGAATTATTTACCCTTCAAAGCGGCATTCTCTGGATTCACATATCTCGATCAACGATTATCTGCAGACGATGAAACTTACGACCTCTTCAAGGTGTGTACACCGCAATTTCCCCTCAAGTGGCGCTAGTGTTGGAGCAAAAAGTAGTGGGGATAACGTATCCGCCTACTTTCTGTTCATTTAGTGGGGCGATGACGTCAGAAGCCTCATCTTTGTCTAATAAATACCGATTACCTTGAAATCTCGAAGAAAGGACCTTAGAAAAATTTTTCTTTTCATCATTTCATTCATTTTTCCGAATAGTAGTTCATCTTTGCTCAAACTAATTTTTCCATATATCTCTAAACACCGAAGATATTTAGATGTAACCTTTTACTTATTTACTCACCCTGTATATTATACATACAAAGTAATTCTTGACCACACTGGTAATTAACGGATTATTGTTCCAGGAATTTGTTCTCACACTCATACAACCTATATATGAAGAAATTGGTTACCTAGATCGACCAAGCGACGACAGATTGACAATACTATTGAGAGGCGAATTGAACAAATGGGCATGCAATTATGGTCACAAACAATGTGTGGACATTTTCTTTGAAAAATTCTGGCAATGGAGGGATCTAAACGTAACGTGAGGAAATATAAAATTTCTAATGATATTTTCTTGCCGTTTAAATAATTTACTCCAAAATCCTTTACGTAATGTAGGTATACTCGATATTTTTAAAATGAGAAGATACTAAAAGATTTTAGTACCACCACTTACATGACACACTATTGTATATGCTATAATTTTAATACAATTTACACATATAATTTCTTGATTTTTTTCTAATTTACGTAGAAAATGATAACGAACTTAAAGCTAAGGAAGAAGTATTTACTCATTTTATATTAAAAAACTCTTCAGCATTTATGTTTACAAGCTTCCTGAAAGTTATACACTGCCATTTATTCACGACACTAATTAATATTTTTTAATATTCTGCAAAATGTATCATACGATGTATATAATCTAATTTATTAATAATTAATTTTACAAATTACGCTACAGAATTAAACCAAACCAGAGACCTGTAGCCTATTGCATGGGCGTAAAATACGGAAAGGAAGAGGATTCGTCATTCTTATGGAATCAGTATTACAATTCGAATTCTGCCACTGAACAATCGGTCATACTTCAAGCTCTCGGCTGTTCTCGGAATATTACACTTTTGGAAAGGTAAGAATTTCATTTTTACTCGTATTATAAACACACACCAATCAGAATTTATAATTTCACCTTATTTTTTTAGATACCTCTCGTACGCGATCAAAGATTTCCAAGAAAGCAGAATCCGGAAACAAGACAATTCTGCTGTATTTTCTGCAGTTTATGGTTCCAGTATACGCGGTGCAGAGATTGTGCTGAATTTCGTTGCGAAACACTATGCTGAAATGATACAGTTGTACGTTTCTAGCATCAGAGAAGAAATACAACATTTTACGCAACATTCGCGTTCACAAGTATCAGGACACTACTCGGCATGAAACATACTGAAATCTATCGAATTCTACTGATACAGTCAAGGACAGAATTCTGTGGACACCCTTCAAAGCAGAATATCTTTTTTTTTAATTAGATCAAACAGCTTGAGCTTTTTGAATACGTTAGAAGGATTAGTTTACTACATGACGTGTAAAAATAAATTTTAAAGAAACCGCAATTAGTCGGAATCGCGAAGAAAATAGCGAGGGTCGCTTTTTACAACTTTTTTATCCGAGCTCGTAATGAAAATTTAAAAAATACGTTTCGTAGATCTGTGTGAATTATACACATGCTTAAAATTTTATCGAAATCGGTGGATGGAGAAACAAGCGACAGGCATCGAAAGATTTATTACAGTTTCAGAAAGTCGTGAAATAGTGCGATTTTCACAATATTTAACCGTTTGTAGCTCGTAGCAACGTTAACCGATTTTCGATGAAATTTTCAGCATGTGTATAATTCACATAGATCTACAAAACGTATGTTTCAAATTTTCATTACAAGCCCAGATAAAAAAGTTGTAAACAGTGACCTCTACAATTTTCTTCGCGATTTCCACAAATTGCAATTGTTTCGAAAATTTTTATACACGTCATCTAGTAAACTAATCCTTCTAACTTCTCAAAAATACTCAAGTCGTTTGGCCCAATTTTAAAAAAGTTACCTTATCTTGAAGGGTACTGAAATCTACTTACTGAATGTGAAGCAAGCCTCATTGTCATTACAAGTTTAATAGAAAATTATTTGACTCACAAAAGTCACTACAAAATTATTAAGGTTCTAAAAAAAAATTACTCAATCTAGAATCTTCAAGTATAACGAGAACATATATATTTAATTTGGCGAGAAAATGTAAGATAAATCATATACGAACATAATGTGTGTCCTAATACTTACGAAGGGCACTGCATTGTGCGATGCTCAGGAGTTTGCCCTCGGGGCGGCACCGGGGCAAAGAAGGGCTACTTCGCTCGCACCATCTAAATGACTCGTCACGCAATTATAAATGTTCCGATTCGTCGATGTTATCGCGTCCGCCAATAATGACAATAAGTGTGCCCTATTTTTATAATTGTGTTAGAGAAGGCGGGCTTATGAGCAGTGCCGCGTTATAGCTTCATGAGGCCCCAGGCAAATTTGAATTTGGGGGCCCCATGTACAGTGAATGAGGTTATAAAAAATTGCTGGAGGCCCCGGGCAATTGCCCCTTTTACCCATAGGATAACGCGCCACTGCTTATGAGGATATGACCCAATCAGACTTGCATTCCTTCCAAGGTCAAACTCCTGAGCTCTGCACAGTATCCATTATCAAGCAAAAATGAATATTTCCTTCTCGTTGCTGACATTTTCAAATATCACCTGTTTCAGTTACAACGGAACCGAAACAATTGCCAGTATTCTATCCTCAGCTTCGCAACGTTTCTCCACGCAGGAACTAGTAGATACATTCGACAGGTTGATTGAGCAGCGTAAGGTGGAATTTGAAGGTGTTTCGAAATCGTTGAAGAACTCGTTGGAGATAGCGAAGTACGAATTGCAGTGGTACAACAAATATTCGAGACCAATTGTACGGTGGTTAAAGGCTTTTAACAGCAAGGCTTCTAATGATGTGAATTATCGCTTGCCAACAAGCATAACTCCTAATTCCTATTCCATTTGGGTGACGTCCAAGATAAGCGAACTGAGAAACTTTACATTCACCGGAATGGTGAACATTACAGCGAGTGTTTCGCAACAAACGACAGATATCGTTTTACATTCGGTGGATTTAACACACGAAAGCGTTTCCGTGCTCGCGCAAGGCAAGCAGGTCAACGTAACACTACATTATGTTAACAAACAGTATGACACTCTAATTATCACGCTTGATCGAAAATTACAAGTTGGAGAAAATATAAGTATTATGATAAAATACGAGGGACACCTGAACGAAGAGATGCGTGGATTTTACAGAAGTTGGTACAAGGATAGTTCTGGCCAAATAAGGTACTCCCTTTACTTGTCAATAATCACATTCTGCTTAATATGGACGGTCTTGAAACGTTTCGTATTTGTGGAAGCATGAAAAAGTATTTCAAATAATGTGTGTGAATATGATAATATTTAATAATAATAATAAAATAATATTTATTAATATTTAAATGGTATTGAACGTGAAATTATACGATTATTGTTACATGCACACGAATTAACGACACGTGCTATAAATACCGATATAACGTAAATGAAAAGAATTTGAAGGAAATTGCAAATTGAGAAACACTATTAAAAACATATTTATTAAACATATAAGCTCCTATAATAATATGAAATGTGTTTTGTTTATTTTACAGATGGTTAGCCTCTACACAGATGGAACCTGTTGGAGCAAGAAAGATGTTCCCATGTTTCGATGAACCAGCATTGAAAGCAAAGTTTACAATGAGCGCCACGATACCTCAAAATTATACCGCCATCAGTAACATGCCAATCGATCAAATGTTCTTGCAGCAGTAAGTAATTCTTGCTTTTTAATGTCACATAAGAATGTTTTACTTTACATTTACTTTTAACTTTGAATATTTCTTTGAATAAATGCTTCACGCATATGAGCCATTCAGAAGTTAAAACGATTAACTCCACTTTTTGATATTCTTCCAATTTTAGCGTTAAAGTACATGCTTGGTGCTTAATTTTTTAAAAATAAAACAAATTTAATAAATTTTATTTTACTAAGACAAAATGTACGTCAACAAGTACATACAGGTATAAATCGGCTTATTTCTGTGAGTTTTCATCCAAACTCATCACTTCTAAGTGTACTTGGCTCCGCTAAAACTAGTAAAACAATTATGACCAACTTTTTCATACAAATACTCCACTGTGCGTCGCTCAGACGTCTTTTGGACATCTTTAGGCTTTTACTTGACGTCCTTAAGACGTTCAGAAGACGCCTGTGTGCCACCTGGATGGTATCCACAAAGAATTGACAAATTTGTTCACGTAAACAAATTTTGTTTTCAGAAACTCCATGAAGAAAATCATTTTCAAAGAAACTCCTAAAATGCCTACGTATCTGGTAGCACTGGTAGTTTCGGATTTCGTTTCAGTAAAAAGCAAGGACGAGATGTACGGAGTATGGGCAAGACGAGACGCCATCAATCAAGCAGAAATTGCCCTGTCTGTTATGAAACCGCTGGTTGATATTTTTAATCGAAATTTCGGTATCCCGTATCAGCTGCCAAAGCTTGACATGGTTGCATTACCCGACTTTGTGTCAGGTGCGATGGAAAATTGGGGCCTGTTGACTTATAAAGAAAGAAATGTACTATTTGACGAAGAACTATCAACCACCGCGTCGAAGCAAAGTATAATTAACGTAATATCGCATGAGATCTCCCATCAATGGTTTGGAAATCTTGTCACTCCACGTTGGTGGAAATATATCTGGCTGAACGAAGGCTTCGCTAGGTATTTCCAGTACTTCGCAAGTGACGAAGTAAGTATTGTATACTTGCTTGAATAGATATTTCATCAGCAATGGTCTTCGCGTAACGACGATACCACGAATTCTTTTTAAATTGTTAGTTATAATTTTTCTGTTGCCGAGACAAGTTTAACGAACTACAACAAACTCAATTTCATATCGATGTTTCACGTGGCGCAATCAATGACACGCTGTTAGGACCTTATTTCTATAATGGCGCCTTAAATGGAAATAAATATTGAAATTTTTATCACATGTGCCTACTCGTTGCACTACGAAAATCCAGACGGAATCATTTTTTTTCAGGATCTTACTAATAATTTTGCAACGACTGTTCACGTTTGTTTCATATTTAATAAGTGTCCTAATACTTGTGAACGGGAGTGTATATATGTATATGTTTTTAATCTGAACATTTTTTCAATTTATACCATTCGTTAATTTTCCACTCTCTCTCGTACTTTGTTTCGAAAAAGTTAGACAATTCAACGTCGTCCTTGGAATCTCAATTTGTCGTGGAGCAGCTTCACTCAGCCTTGGAAGTAGACAGTGCAGCATCTAGCCACGCTATGACCCACGACGTCTACAGCCCAACACAAATTAGTGGAATGTTCGATACGATTTCCTATGCTAAAGGTGCTAGCGTGTTAAGAATGATAGAGAAATCACTTGGTCGTGATGTATTTTACAAGGGCCTGCAAAGTTACCTACCAAAACGGTGAGTCTTTGTACAACGATCAAATTCCGCGATATTTTCAATATCGCTATGTATTTTATTCGTACGTTTCGTAATTATCATTTTAGGAAATACGATGCAGCTGTACCTGAAGACCTGTTCGACGCTTTTAAAGAAGTAATCACTGATGAGAAACTTAAAAACTCAATTCACGATATTATGAACAGCTGGACTACTCAGCCTGGTTATCCTGTCGTCAACGCGACACTTCGGCAAGACCGTTTAGAGCTCAGGCAAAAAAGATTCCTCCTGAATCAAGAAGATCCACCAAGTACAAGCACTTGGCACATTCCGATCACATGGACATGTCTCAACACATCAAATTTCAATAACACAGAACCAAAATTCTGGTTTAAAAATGCACTGGATAGCGTCCCAATTCCATGCGATCACTACTTGCTGAACATACAACAATCCGGTAGGTAATTTTAACAAAATACAAGCAAACACGTGAAAACTTTAAAAATGTAATAGAATTACTCTTTTTTAATAATTACTTCAACAGTTAGTAATTGTAACTTTTTAAGACTGGAGTTTATTAAGATCGAGAATTTTATGGATTTACACCTTCCGAAAGCTGGAGGTTAAGTTTCGATCTAGAAGATCGACAAAATCGAAATTGCTTTTCCACACTTTCTTCAAATTTCAGTCCTATTATGAATTATTTAATTTATCTGATAGTAGATAAAATAGCATTAGTCGTCAATTGTCATTACCCTTTTATTGTACGGACCTTGAAACAGCTGTGCCGACCACCTGTTGCTTTTGTTTACGAATTCGCTATATTTGTTCCATCGACTGTACGTTTTATAGTTGGAAGGCCTCTCTTCGGTTGGACCTTTTTTTTTTCTTTCGTGGATGAAATCTTCAGAAAGACACCCCCCGGGAGGAGGGAGGCGGGGTAGTGTGGGATTCTTACTCACTAAAACCTCCATGGTGATCCTTTTCGGCCAGGGGACCACGCCCGACACCGCCCCTTCCCTGAGGAAGCGCCTTCCCCCTCGCGGTCCCATATACCCGAGCCGGAGGTTTCAGCACCTCGGCCCTGGGGAGGAGTAAACTCCTCCCCCAATTCCTTCGGTCGGACCTAGCGCATGTGATGCCCAAGCCGCGAAGCAAAGCGATCGTAAACCAATTTGGCTACTAATTTCCGCGCAGATCTAATATCAATAATAATAATTAATATCATAATTTATAATTCTTTTATTGTAATGTAATCGTTATTTAATATTTCCATTATTATAAATAGACTGCGGATTTTTATGTATTTATGGGAGGGACAAAGATACACAGAATGCACATAGTAAGCAAAAATATAGAAATATACCCAAAATATAGTACTCAATATAATATTTAGCGAATAAACAATTTTTCTTTAACTATATTCATAAAAATATTAATATGCATAAAAATCCGCAATTTAATTACAAATAACAAACCTAACGATGAAAGCTTTTGTTTTCAGGCTTCTATCGCACAAATTATGATTCTCAAAGCTGGAAAAGAATAATCGATTGGTTGAAGAGTGATCAGTATAATAAAATACACGAGATTAACCGTGCTGCCCTAATCGATGATTTGCTACATCTTGCCAGATCAGGATACGTTGATTACGTTACTGCCTTGACTGCGACAGAGTATCTGAGCAAAGAAACTAATTATTTCCCATGGCGCGCGTTTTTCAACAGTTTAACTTATCTGTATAAACAGTTCGAAGGAAAAGACGCATTCGGTACATTCAAGGTATGCATATTACAAAATCATTTGTCGAATTATCTTTATAAAATAAAGTTACCCCTCGTTTATGAGAGTATCACGTTCTAAAAATCACTTTTCTATTATATTGCAGCATTATATTAGTACGCTTTTAACACCGATATACAATAAGCTTGGATTTGAAGATAGTCCAAGCGATAATCGCGTCACATTATTGTTCAGATCACATGTCCGCAAGTGGGCATGCAAATTCGATGTAGCAAATTGCAAGTACAAAGCGTTGGAGTATTGGAATATTGACGAAACAATGTTAGTATTGCTCGTAATTAAATCACTAGTAACTAATAATATATTGCATGAAACAAGGTGACAATTTTACCAGTAACAATTTTATCGGTGAAACACTTTGGAGCAGTAAAAGTGTGTAGTATGATAATTCTATTTATTATTAAATTCAGTTTCAGATTTTTCAGAAAATAATACACACATTTAGTGTCTTTTGAAAAGAGATATAAAATTTTTCACAGCAGTGGAAAAAATTCACATTAGAAAAAGTATTTTAATTAATTTTCATTAATTATTCTTCTTTCTTTGTAAAATTATTTTTCTTTGCATTAATGGTAAATGTTGCCTGTCTTAATAAAATAACGTAAATATTATTTATTTACTAGTTTCTCTGTTAAAATTATGCAACGCAAAATAAATTCTAATTAGGTATACGGAGACTATTTTCACTGAACGTACCTTACATACGTCAGGGTAGAATCATAAATTATTATAGAAATTGCTACTTGTATTATTTGAACTTTCTGTACAAACAGTTTTCTCTTCAATTTCATTTCAATCAACGTTCACAGATATAAAATACTATTCTGAACACAACTATACGCAACATTGAAAGAGTTATTCTATTAACGTTATTTTATAGGATTCCAGCAAATTATCGTAGTGTAGCATACTGCACAGTTGCTGAACAAAACGACCTTAAAAGTTGGTTACGTTTATGGGACCACTATACGAAGTCAACATTTGCCGCAGAAAGAGTAATAATTCTTCAATCTTTAGCTTGCACGACCGATAAAGCTCTCCTCAACATGTAAGACTACTTCGTTCATATTCCAAAACAGTAAAATGTTAATTATACGAATCTCTGACTCTTGCATTAATTTACGTATTTAATTCTTTCTCTGTTTTATTGTTTCATTACCGAATAAGTTAAAAATGTTTAATTTAGCGAATTTTTATTTTCTATATTTAATTCTTTTTTTCTACACTTTGTATTCGAACAATTTGTATGTGAAGTATTGCTGTTAATTTATTATTAGGCTAATTGCAAATTATCTCGAAAGTTTGTCTTAATAATTGTCGTTTTTATGGACTTTGAAGGCTACTTAAGAATGCAATCACGAGAGATTTTAATATACGATTAGAAGACAGCTCGAGCGTTTTTACTTCCATTATTGGCGCCAGTCAGGAGGGAGTTGAATGCGTAATAGATTTTGTTCGACATAATTACAACCAAATTAGTAACTAGTAAGTAGAATGCTGTAACATGCGACATGAATTCGTAGTATAACATTTTCAAAGTAATTGTACTAATTTTACTGTGTGAATTTTATAGTCAGAAAGAAATTCTCAAGGTTAACAATATCGTAAACACGATCGAGAAGAATATATTTAAGAAGGAGATTCATGCAAAGGTAATTATGACTACTTTGTGATATTATCTGAAGTTATTATTATTTTAGACAAAACTATTTGTCTAAAACAAATTATGTCATACGTGTAAAACGTTGTTATGTGACTGTCATAAACGAATGATTGTCAAAATTTAAAAATTACCAAATAGAATCTCATTTATTGATAATAATTTCAGATAAGTTTATTACAGAAATTTGACACTATTTTACATTCAGACTTGTTTCATAACGCACACTGTTCCAGTTATTAAAAATCACTTAATGCACGAATTTACTTCACTTAATCGTACTTTATTGGTCATTTTTCCATACTTGCGAAAATTTTCAATATTCTATCGAAAACATGCAAAAAAGTGTATTACTTGAAACTGACAAACCTCGTTCATTTGTAATAACTAGTCTATTATGGTATTTATCAATATATTTGGAAATATTGTACTTATAAAATGTATATTAGCGACATCCACTAAAGTTTATTGTGTAATTTATAAGAAAGAAAGAGAATAGCAGAGTATTCGTCGTAAATATCCTATTAACTAGTAATACTTTTATATCGCAGAAACACCGATTATTAATCACAGGAAATGATCTTTTATTAAAAATTTTAAGGATCAAAAATCAAACAATACTGTAGTATCGGGGCCTCCATACCCAAATAGGAAACCGACAAGGGAGAATAGAGAGGGAGTAGTTGGCGCAGTGCGCAAAGCCTCGGCTTGCCAAGCCGAAAGGTCCCGGGTTCGATTCCCCGTTTTGTTGGGTCCCTCAAAATTTTTCCGTCGGTTCCTACACAATACTTACACTCATATTGTACTACTAAACCTAATTTCACCATTTTCCACCAAACCATGTCAAAGAAAATATTAATTCAATATATGATGTTTCCACAGTATATCGAACTGGTACATTGGCTTGAAATGAATGAACGATTAAATAAAACAATATATAAGGTGAATTATGATTTACAATGGGGTGAGAAACACATTCCGGAAATACACGAATGGCTGGAGAGACACTATCCATTATTGGATTATCGTCTACCAAAACTGTTCTCTCCGCTGAAATACAACATTACTCTGTCTCCATATTTCGAGGAGAAGAACTTCACGTTCGACGGGAATGTTCAGATACTGATGAAACGTTCTATGGACTATACGTCGCGCATAGTTCTTCACGCCCATGAACTGAAAATCAAGAAAGTGTTGGTATATCAAAACGATTTAGAATGGATTCAGGGGAAACAATTAAACACAAGCAGTGTCATATCAAACAGCGACACTCAGATGATATCAATATTCATGGAAAGCTTTATAAAAAGCGACATGGTCCTCCTTGACATTGAATTCACGGGTACCTTGAATGACAGGTTGGAAGGCTTTTACCGAAGTTATTATGTCAATGCGGAAGGAAATGTTCGGTAAGTAGAATAAAAAAAATCTAATCACAAGGAAAGTTTAGCAATTTGAAAATTCAAAAAATATTTGACACTTTGCAGAAGTGTAGTTCAATCGAAGGTATGCAATTTGAAAATTCAAAAAATATTTGACACTTTGCAGAAGTGTAGTTTAATCGAAGGTATTAACTGAACCATTTTTTGTCTCGGCAATGAAACGGTCGTAGAGGTGAATATTTACGAATCCGTACAAGATTTTTTCTTTTAATTTGCCCTCACCACTCTTTTTCCGAAAATTCTTTATCACCGCAATGTAGAATATCAAAAACCACATAACTTTGAATTTAACTATTTTGTCTATATCCTGTTCGGTTTCGTAAATATTCAGGATAACATGAGAACTCATAACTTCTTCGAGGGTGTGTGTTTTCACCCCTAGGACCGTTTCGTTGTCGAGTCAAAAAATGGTTTACTTATTAGCGTCAATTGAACTACACTTCTGCAAAGTTTCAAATTTTTTTTGGACATATGGAAAATAATATTCTTTATTGCTCTTCAGTTGGTTAGCTACGACTCAGTTTGAACCGAATTATGCCAGACAAGCATTCCCATGCTTCGACGAGCCATCCTTCAAATCAAAGTTCGTAATCAACATAGAAAGACCTAAGGATTACATTGTGCTCAGCAATATGCCTCGTGCGTTGCTATCTCCATCGGCGTAAGTATATTAAACGAAGTATAAAAACAAACGTATTGCAAAAACGAAGAATAGTAAAATATTTTTCTAAAATGCAGACAGGTATAATTTTGAAATGATAAAGTGTTCAAATATACACTGTTACCACTTACTCTTATTCACACCTGTTTACCATACATATACAGGGTGTCCCAGTTTTTTTTATGGACCCAAGAAAGAAAAAAATCTTAGAATCATGTAAATAATTTTTTAACACATGCATGTTTGTTTCTTTTAATAAAAGGAATCCAAATATATTCCTTTTCCATTTTAATCGACTCTAATTCAAGAATTATATTATTAATCATGATCCTCTGTGTTAATATTAATTATCCTTTATTTTGTACCAATTATTACAATTATAATTATTTCTGTCGTATTTCCAGTGCTCCAAATCGTGTATGGGAAACATTCCAGGAAACAGTTCAAATGTCGACCTACTTGGTCGCATTCGTTGTGAGTGATTTCGATTCCCAACCAAATGCGTTCAACCACGTACAGGTATGGAGCAGACCTGAAATTACTCGCAGCGGTGAACTCGCGGCAATCGCGGCCAAGCGAATGCTCGATATTTTGTCATTGGACACGGGCCATGAGTACCTCTTGCCGAAATTAGATCTAGTAGGAATTCCAGACTTCGCAATGGGTGCTATGGAAAATTGGGGTCTTGTTACGTTCAGGTAAATCAATGTCCTACAGTTCTAAAAACATTTATTCTTACATTTACTTTTCACTCTTATAACTCGTTTAAAATCGTCATAAAGAAATTTATTCAATTACAGTATCGTCCGTATCGTTGTTTGTATAATATTCATTTTTGTTAAGTTCAAATTGATATGTTCATTTATCACAATAATAAAAACAATTTTCAACTGTTTCTTTACTTTTTTTTCTTTTAACGATTGTAATTTTATTGCAATTTTATTACCAGCACGTGGAATGTATAATTATTTTTACAGAGAGTACGGACTATTTTACAACAAGAGTGTTACAACGGCCAAATACACAGATTATATAATCACTATAATTGCGCACGAGCTTTCACACATGGTGTATGGAAATTTAGTTACCTGCGACTGGTGGGAGCATATATGGCTTAATGAAGGCTTCGCCGAGTACATGCAATGGCGCATTTCCTATTTGGTGAGTGTTTGTACGTCATTTAGTAAAAAAATTGGCTCGTCAGATAGAGAAAGTTCCGCAATGGCAACTCACTCTTCACGATTTATAATAATACACACATGCTCGGTTGAAACGAACAAAATCGGGCTACTCGTTGCAACTCTTGCGAGCAGGATAGCGTTTTCATTTCAAGAATTGACTCCTGAACAGTTCGATAAGGAAAGAGAATGGATGAAACGAGAATAAACGAGATAGGCGTAGTGCGTCGAAAGTAGCGACAATCGACACCTGAGACTCGAAAAGTATATCACCTGCCTTCCAATATCAAAAATTTCAATTTCTCTAATTTTCATCCTATGTTCATGAAATCAGTACCAACGAATTGATGAGATTCTCCCGATGAAAATGAGTACAAACTCAACATAAATCGGACTACTTTTACCAGTCGTCAATTTAAGTATAACAAATTTTTAAGGACGCTTTTAAAACTTAATTAACGACTGACCAGTCTGATTTATGTCGTGTTTACATTCATTTCCATCGGGAGAACTTCACCAATCCATTGGTACTGTTTTCATAAAGATAGGTTGAAAACTGTAGGAACAGAAATTTTTAACATTTACTGATTGCGAACTCGAGGCGCACTGAGTGGTGGGGGAAGAGTGAGAATGATTCAGCTTACTGTTCAAGTTGTGAGCACTGAGTGGTGGGGGAAAAGTGAGGATGGTTTAGTTCAATTTAACCGAGCATTACTGTACAGGTAACCCTTGTTATTGCTATTGTTACCCTTCTTGTTTGTCTTTATTTATCTCTGTCGTATTAGTTTATTCATTAGTGTATATTTGGATACAATTACTGCTAATGTTCAATGTAACAATGAATAAGAGAGAAATCTCTTATTCATCTGCTCGAATTTTTCACTTATGAAAATTATAGAGAAAATGTAATAACCTTTAAATAAATTCATCATAGTACCGTCCATATTTCGGTTACGACGAGCTATTCGTTGTTGATGAACTGCAAGCAGCTATGCAGAATGATGGTGCACACCCTATGAATAATCCTGTTAGTAAACCTTCTGATATCCCGAAAATTTTCGACACCGTTACTTATGGAAAATGTAAGTAATTACAAAGTTTTTATAATTTACAACAAAAGGTGTAGAATCCGTACATAATGCAAATAATTCAAAAGAATGTTTAGCTAAAATAATATTAATTTTGATTCTATAATTCACAATGAAATGAATGTTTGAAAATTATGCAAATAAAGCAAATGCAATTAACGTTAATTAAACGCATTAAATGATTATTGCTCTGAACAATAGATAAATGATACAAAACATTCATTGGTTCGTGGTATCGCCCACTGCTATTTATTCATTGTTCAAATACAATTTAATTCTATTTCGCTGTAACTTTTGTATTTATAAAAATTAACATCTTATTATTAAACATCAATACTCTTACAGCGGCTAGTGTAATACGAATGATAGAAAAGACTTTGAGACCACACATTTTCATGAAAGCAACGAAACTGTATTTAGAACAACATCGTTTCAACAATACGACTCCAAAAGACCTTTGGCAAGCTTTTGATGATACGATCGAAAAAGAAATCGGCTCTAATATCGATTTCGGTATGTCTATGGAAACATTAATGGATGGTTGGACCAATAAACCAGGATATCCGGTTGTTGATGCGACGTTGAATCGCAACAATATAATATTGACTCAGGTATTTTCCAAAAGTTAGCAGCTAATTTGGATCTAAGGAATAAAGCAATACTTCGAGATCATTTTTAAAATCAAAATGTTCTTTGTAGAATACGTCATTTTAATAGAATAATATTAAAAAAATATATAACTTCATACTTTTCAGTGAAAATATTTCTTAAAATTTTTAGCTTTTTAATTCTTAGTTGGTAATTAGTGAAAATAATTGGGGAAATTAAATTTAAGTCCTCTAAAATCAGTGCTTAAAATAAATTCCACAGAAAATTTTACCCCTGATTGATTATATATGCACCAAGAATCACTTATTAATGAGCATTTCTTGTGAGAAGTATGTATAGTTGGTGGAAGAAATATAGCCAGGTCGTAAATTAAAGCGTTAAGAGGGTACACCACCCTTGAAGCATCTAAAAATAGGTAAAGTTTGAGAATTTCTTTCATCGATAACTACTAAATGAAAAGTTTCAATTTTTCCGGAGGATACAAATGTAACTTTCAACTTCTTTCTGTAAGTCTTAAAAAGTGCAAATCTTACAAAATGGTAGAGTTATCGTGAAACATGTTCGGCTCCATCGCCGGCAAGGATTACAACGTTTAAAATAAAAAATTTTTGGTAATTTGTAAATAAAAATGTATTATCTACAATGTCGCGTAAAATTTTTTCAAAAATTGTAATTATTATAGAAATGGTGGCAATTTGAAGAGGGAAAATCTCTTTCGTCAGAAAAAGCAAATTTAAACATTTCTAAATAATTAAATAATTGACATATCGAAAAAATCTTACGCTACATTATAGGTAAAGCGCTACATTTTTATTTATAAATCAGTAAGAATTTTTTATTTCAGATGTTCCAATCCTCGACAGCAAGGGCAGTAAGCAATCGATGTTTTAGCAGAAGAGTTTTCGCAATAACTCCTCCATTTTGTAACATATTTACATTCTAAAAGTTGGAGAAAAAAATCTGAAAATTACGTATATATCCTCTGAGTCAATTGAAACTTTTCATTTAGTAGTTACCTATTAAAAAAAATTCGCAAATTTTTACCCATTTTTAGACGTCTCCGGATTAGACGCCAAAAACTTAATGTAACACTTTCGTTCAGCTTCGTTTTCCGTATGGAATATGAAATACTCCAAACGAACGATCGTAAAATATTGCTATACAACTATATGGAAAACAAAAACAAACTTTACTTTTCCAGAAAAATTTCACCACATATGAGAACATCGATGACTTCTGGATACCAATTACGTTAACATCTGCTGATGAAATAAACTTCCTAACTACTACGGCGGAAAAATGGTTAGGCGGGAAACCTCTAACAATTCCCTTGAAGCAACCGAACTTGTGGTTCCTGGTGAACGTTCAACAAAGCGGTTATTATCGTGTAAATTACGACGATAAATCGTGGTCGCGCCTTATAAACGAATTGAAAAACAATCATAATACGATACACGTGACGAATCGCGCTCAAATAATCGACGATCTTCTAAACCTGGCTCGTGCCGGCCATGTCAGTTACAACATTGCATTGACCGGTACATCGTATCTAAGGAAAGAGAAGAACTACTTGCCGTGGAAGGCATTTTTCAATGGAATGAACTTTATTCTACAGCGTTACGAAGGCCAGAATAGCGTAACTGCGGTAATGAAGTATATTGTGCTGTTAACCCAAGACTTATACAACGAACTCGATTTCGTAGACACGGAAATGGATAGTCACTTCAATCAATTAAACAGAGAACTGATCTTGACTTGGATGTGCAGATTGAAAGCTAAGTCATGCATAGACACATCTATCGAACTATTCCACAATTGGCACGAACGCAAGGTAAACAGGTAAGATTTCCTTTGCCATTTTGTATTTAAATATCACATTAGGGAGTTTCAGTGACATTATATGTCGTAGACTTTATCTACAAACTATGCCTACAATTATGTCTAAAAATGTGAAACTTCCTTTCATCTTTTGCCATTTCTTTCATCAAAAATATTCTTCTTCCATCTTGTCCACCCTTTGAAACTATTTAAATTACGCATAAAAATTTTCTGATACCACCGTAGCTACAGAAAATAATTCGATGGCCTATTTCACGCGACCCACCCTGTATAACAGAAGAATTCCCTTCTGCAGAATTGTACCGCAATTCTACCTTCTTCACTTACCAATACCGTTTTCAAACAAACCAGTTAAAAAGTAGCATTTATTATAACATATCTAGGGAGCAGAAGAATATATTACATTTGCAATTGGATTTTTAGTATTTCACCAAATGCAAGGCCAGCTGTATACTGCACAGCCATAAAGCACGGATCGATCATTGAGTGGAAGTTCTTACAGCAGAAATATTTGGAAGAAAACTTATCTTCAGAGAAACGAATCATGCTGGATGCGCTTGGCTGCGCGACCAACGCCAGTACATTGAATATGTAAGTTTAAAATATTTTACGAGATTAAAATCTCTCGATTATTATGCGATAATTTCAAACACGAACCATGCACTTCCCGTGATTCTTGTCGAATGGAACTCCAGTTGACGAGTATACAATTTTCACAAATAGAGCGCCGACTAACGTACTCACCGATTTACATATTTTATTCTGATTGAGCTGATGTGCTCCGAAGAAGAGCGCGATACAACATGATTGGCTTGTAATTTCAATGCTCTCAAGGTGTCTCAAAGTTCTGTCCAGAAAATCTAATCTAAGGATAAAAAAATAGTGAGCAGGTTTAGGTCGCGGTGTAGCTGACTATCAGGTTAAGTCAGGACAGAATAGCGTGGTTGATCTGCTGGCTAGAATTTCGAACAACAGGCTAGAACACACTTTTTGACTTTCACTTGAGAATAAAGAAGGGTAATATTTATTTAGACACTTTTAGTTGTAGAAATTATTTTTAACGTCGAAATTTTTAATTCTCGGTATTTGTTCCCCCCATCAGGAGGGAATTTCCTCCGGGACGAGACCCGATCGTCATCTATTGTTCATAGAAGAGTAAGTGCGATAGCCTTATTCTATCCCTATTCGCTGACTATAAGGGAAGACCTAAGAGTAACTGCGATAGCCTTATTCTATCCCTACTGGCTTACTGACAGCGAGCCGTCGCAAGTTCCCCTACATCTCCCACTTTTAGGCCCTGCGTGACGTCAGAGGCTTCACTTTAGGTTTTTCGGACAGTACAAATAGGAACTTTTATGAGGACTAACGAGAACTTGTGGTTAGTTCGTCCCTCTAGTGGCAGAGCGTAGGAGGGTCGCTACAGAGATAAACAAACGTACGTGATTAGGACAGAAGCGTATTCACAACCATCAGATACTGTGACACTAAACCTGAGAAGTCAAAGCAAGCTCGTATAAATCCGCTTCTGAAGTATCGTTCGCCAGGAAATAGCTGGAGTCCCTTGATCTATCACATGCTCAACATGCGAATCTTTTGTTTATCTCTACTGACTCAACTCGTTGAACGGCCTTTTTATGAGTTTATGACAAGTCTATCGCCTATTGAGTGGACAGAAAGTTTATGAAAAATCTATCGCTATTGAGTGGACAGAAATAGGGCTCTAGTTAGAAAAACCGGTTTAGATAATTGAACTTTCGACTGATAACCATAACGCTATCCTAGCCAAGTTCTTGTGCCCATTTTTCCCCAATAATTCTTGCGATTTTATCAGTTTCTCGTTCGTACACTGTAGACAAATTAAACAGATTTTTTGAAACATTTTATCTAAACGAACAAGATTATTATGAAATCTTTCAATTACGATGATTTCTTTGTTTTCTCGCAGGTATATTGAATATGCGTTGGTTCGTAATTCCTCCACTCCTCCCATCCGTAAGATGGATGTTAATACCGTATTTGCTTCTATCTACAAAAGTGGAAAACTCGGAGTAGACGTGATGTTGAAGTACATATTAGAAAATTATAAAAAATTATACAATTTGTAAGTATAAAAATAATAGAGAAGAAAACAATTCACATTTGGCCAGCACTAAAGGAAAACGATGTTTCGTTTACTTTCAGCTATGGTAACTGGGACGGTGTTGAAGAATTAGTTTCTAAACTAGCGCCTCATCTTTCTACGGCGGACCAAATTAACCAGGTATATCAAAATCCTATTAATTAAGTTTCTCACACTTTTCAATATGTTTCTTCCTTTTTTTGTTTTATATTTAGTCGCATTTATTTTAATGACACTTATAGATAAATTACTTTGACAGTTGTTGCAGCTTCAACGCGTCCGCGACTTTAATAACACGATAGTACAATTGAACATTAAATCTGCAATTGATACTGCAACAGAGAACCAAAATTGGTACAAAAAATATTCAGGAACCATTAATAATTGGGTATTGAGCCAGAATTCAGGTGGTAAAACCATTCCAAATAGCTTATACATAATTTCTACGACAGTATTTTCAATGTTT